GGGCGAGGGCCGTCCTCGCCCGCCAAGCGAGGCCCTCGCCCCGGCTGCTGGGCGCCCTCGCCCGACGCAGCGAGGATTGCCCGACGCCGGCGAGGGCAACCCTCGCCCGACGCAGACGAGGGCAGTTTGGGGTTTTTTGTCACATATGTACCAGTTTGGGGTTTTTGATGGTCAAAAAAATAGTTCGGGGTAAAATTGTCACGGGTGTACGTTTGGGGTTTTTATGGTCAAAAAAATAGTTTTTGGTAAATGTGTCACAAGTGTACCAATTTAGGGTTTTTGTGGTATTAACCCTAAATATTTTTATATAGTTCATGGATTAAATTGAAAATGTACCAAAAGTTCAAGAATCACATTGAATGAATTAAAAGTTGAGGGACCAAATTGCACATTGAGCTAAAATTCAGGGAATGTTTGTGTCATTATCACCGTTCAATTTTGCGCAACTCTAATTAAGCTGCGATTTTCGATATGATACGATCAAACTCTATGTGTTTTAAATCCGTAGCACCTAAAAACATCCAACGAGAGGGCTTTTGGAAGACTGTTATGATTGTGAGGTACTTATCAACGCTCTATGAGAACCGTATCGAGCAGTTTTCTACATGTCGGGTTTGCGGATTAGAAGCATAGAAATCGAGCTTTGATTGCGAGGTGCCCCGTGATGTTAACTGTGATTGTACAGAAACAGCGGAGGAGGGATGTTGGAGAATTCATTTGAGTAGGATCCCCCATGTTGACTTTCTATAACATGCGGACAAAACATGGAAAAAGATGAACATGGAGGAAATCTTCTCATTGAATGGTACGCGTGCGAAACTGAGTAGACGCGGTAGTGTGCCATCACGTCAAGCAATAGTGTTTTTGTTTTTGCTTGAGTCGATCGATCTGGGCATGGGAGCAAAGTGACCGTGGAAAGCGGCAAGGTTTTAACTTTTCGTTTGCGTGCTTGGAACGTCTTTTATCTCTTCGATTTTTTCTATTTAGAATCGAGCATGAGGATGGCTGTGTTTGGACATTTCTGGATGTACGCTAGTATGTTCATTGCAAGACGTGTGAGAGTTTGGAACGTAAAAAATTTGTTGGCATAATTATCGAAGAAGTCCTAAATATAAATGTCGGTTCAGTTTTAAATCATTGGATTTACCCAATTCAATGCTCAATTTTTTTGACACTTTGCCAAATGTAATTCTTCAAGCCAACTTTGGCCGGAAATACGTAGACACCCAACGTACTATGCGGCACGATTGATTCTAAGGTAGATAATTTTGACAATTCTGCCGTCGAGATCGCTAATTGGCGGAGGAAAATAAGAAAAATAAAATGAAAGGAAAAAAAAGAATGAAATCAAAAAAATCTTTTTAAAATATTGCAAAAATTGTCTACGTCAACTCCGACCGTCTCACGTGGCACTGCCGTCTTGTCATGGAAGAACGGCCGGCGTCTATGCCAATGATATCTGGCTAAAATTGGCATAAAGGACTACATTGGCAAATTGTCATAAAGATTAAGACTAAATTGATCAAATTTAAAAGTTTAAAATTGAATGACATACGTACAATGTTTAGGACTTTTTAGGTAAATTTCTCGAAATTTGTCTCTAAAGCTTTTAGTGGCATATTAATTTAAGTTTCGTGGCTACGCTACTCGCATAAAGTATAACAATTTATGTTTAAACATTTTCATGAGCGACAAAAATATTTTCCGTTCGTTCATTTTTATAAGCGATACAAGCAATCTTTTTATGAGAAAATGTTTTCCAGATCATTCATTATCCGCAAAACAAACGATTTAGTGTTTAACTATATTGCCTCCAACGACGCACAACACATATTTGCCGCGCGTCGAGCTTTCAAATGGGAGGCAAACAACATTATTATTGGCTAATCTAAACTCCAATTACAATCATTTGCAATCAGTAGTAATGTTGAAGAATAGTGCACATCACAACCTTTTGTTAATCATGCCATGGACATATGATTTAGTCCACGATATACTTGGAGGTTGACTTTGACGGGACATGAGAGGGCTTTTAACTTTTGAACCGTTTTTCGATTTAGCTAAAGTGAAAATTTCACTTAAATTGCTCTTGATGAAGAGAATATAGATCTTAGATAACTTATGGAGTTTGCTAATTTCATTCAAATTGAAGAAACCCACTATGCATAACGAAAATATGAGGTTTTGGTAAACTTAATTATTACTAATTTGGAATATCACCAAGGCAGAACAAATAGCCATCAAAACGATCTCGTGTTATCTAGAGGCAAATTCGTATTTGATTTTGATAATGTTCATTTAGTTTAGTGGCAATACAAATATTCACTGTAACATGGTATTTTGAGGCCATATGTTTTCCATATTGAGATTATTCACTGTATAGAGACAAGTGGAATATATTGCTTTTTTTTCTTAGCAATATTAGGATATTTACTTGAATTTAAATATCTCTCGGGATTATTCATATATTTCATTTGATAGTACTTATCATTGATTGATTATATTTGGTATTATGTTTATCTTATCGCCTTAAATAGTTATCCAATAAAGAATATCAATATACTTATGTGCTATTTTCGAAAAGTATGATGTGCGGCGAGATGGATTTATTTTGCTACGGGGTGCATCGGTGTTGCATTTGATATTTCCATGTACTCTTTATACAAACATCGAAATATATAGAAAATCCTCAAATATGTTCCGGCATCCTTATTTCTTAACTTGGTATCGATCCTCTTTTCCTGAGACAACCCTACCCGATGCACCTACCGCAAAACAAATCCATCCCACTGCTCAACAGTGCTCACCTGAATGCCTCATTAGCGTTTGGCCAAGTGGTCATGTAACATGGCCAATTTTCATAGAGGTACCTTTTGATTTTTGTACAATAACTTTCGCTCAATAAAGCATGGCTTTTATTCTTTTTGCTATAGCCGAGCCAGCAGCATCCGTTGTATTTGTTCAGTTACCGTCCAAACAGCAAAGTCAACCGCAAATGAGTCAAACGACATTGTTCGACTCCGACAGCGAAGTCGCATGGTTGTTTGGATTATTTTTCAAACTTAAATTGATTTGTTTCAACTCATTTTTGCGTTTGAAGGAGATGTTAGCGATATTAAAATATTTACTTAATTCTACGTATCTATTAGTACTATGCATATATCCTTAATTGATTATATTTGGAACTATATTTATCTCTTTACCTTAAATAGTTACCCAATAATGTACTACTTATTGATTCACATCGAAATACAACTAAATTCCTTAAATCCGTTTTCCGCATTCTTATTTCTTAACTATTGCCAAGACATAAAATACTTTTCCTCGTATCATAGTTTGCCACTTTAATAAATGACTCTAATCCCAAATCTTGCTACCGCATTCACGTAATACTTGATTACGACGAATCGTCTTAACATTGTAAATCTGTACTCGATTGCAACAACGCGCCGTAAATACTATATGATACACCCACAGTACCATAGAAGTGTCCGCGTGTGTTTGTTCTAATGAGACCCATTTTCCACGACAAGGAAGGCTTTTCACGTTCACCAACTTCCGGATTGCGCGTGTGCTCGTTCGAAGTGGCAATCAAATCTCATAGGTCAATCCGTCCTTAAATGGCGTGTAATTTAGCTCGAGATAACGCCAAAAAATTCCCAAGGCGCAAGACTAGGAATCAAAATCATCGACCACGTCCCCCTTTTAATAATAATGGGGGGGCAACACGAAAGATTAGCTGATCAAGCGAAGCTCGTTTGATCATTCAGACACGAGCACCACCATTGCGTGCTAAAAACTCGACCGCGTTCACGACTTCATTCGGTGGCTTCTTTTTTTAGCCGGGACGGACTTTTCCTAAACGGGATTAATTAACAATGTTTAATTTGTTTGAGGAAATTCACAGTGCTTCTCGTTTGGAGACATATGTATGTATTAAGATTGGAACCCTCAAGCAGGATTCGGAGAATTCAAAGGCCGTGTTTGTTTCGATCAAAAACGGTTCACTGAAAATGATTAGTCAACGGAAAATCATTTACGATCAAAGACTATGCATACTTAAAGTTAGGGAAATGAATTTCTCTAATCTGAAAAGCGGAAAACATTTTCCTTTCTCACAAAATTTTCTCCGAAATAAATACATCCAAAAAAACAAATTTAGGACTTACTTTTGGTAAATATTATATTTTAGTTCAACATGGCTAAAAGCGAGACGCATTGCACGACCCTCCTCTGAGAATATGTGCGCTGGCAAAGCAAAGTCGTAGTTGTAGAGAGAGAGAGAGAGAGAGATCCAAATGGCATGTACACGTGGAGGCTGATCCCTTGATCAACGCAACAAAGATCGAGGCTTATTTTATTTAATGAAAAAAAAAATATATATATTTTTTTTTCTTTAAATTTTTAACGAAGGACCAAAAAAATCGTACTCGTCTGGGATTAGAATAGGGTTTTTAAACAAACATTACGTGGCGAAGCTGGAGAGGTCCGCCGTGGACTCCAAAGCCGCTATTCATTACCGTTAATTGCAGAACTTTCCCCCCCTCCCCCTCTCCACTCTTCTTTTTTTCCTTTTTAATTAAAATTTTAATTAATTAATTAAAATCAAATTATCTTGTACAGCATGGACCACGTAGGCCACATGACGGGGTGGTATGCGGGGTGGGACGCCCCCCTCCAGAGGCGAGATGGGATCCCGAGGCCGCCACGTGTACGGCGAGCGGGCGACGCCCGGATGGAAAATTCCAACCCCCAGCAAAATTAAAAAGAAAAGGGGAAACCCCAGCACGATTGTGGAATTGGCCAGCTCAACGACCCCTGCCCCCCCGTATATACGCCGTATGCGTACGCCCGCCGCGCGCCGATACGACACGTGTGTGGTGACGTGGATGTTGCCTTCCCCTCCGTCTCCCTTCTCTCTCTCTCCCTTCCTGCTCCGTCTTCCTCCTCCTCCGTTCTCTGTCTTGCCCTCTCTCTCTCTCTTCTTCTTCTTCTTCTTCTTCTTCTCCTCTCTCTCTCTCTCTCTCTCTTCTGCGCTGCGAGGGAGCTCGAATAGTTCGTCGCGTTTCGGAGAGAGAAAATGCGGTTTCGAGCCTGAGCTTTTTTCCCGTCTTCTGCTGAACTTCTTCTTCTTCTTCTTCTTCTTTTTCTCCGTCCGGCGATATAATCTGAGAGCTTCGAGAGTCTCTGTAAATTCCGGGCGTTCGAATTCCGCCGTTCCGTTTTTGTTCCCCGGAAATCCTTCGTTTCTGGATTTGGCAAACGAGAAGAAGGCGGGACTCCCGGCGGCGCGGTAGAAGGTGCGTTGGAGCTAGCTGTTTGATTTCCGAGTTGAAATGTTTCGCTCTTTCTCTTTCTCCCCGTTCTCTCTACTTGGAAAAAGCGCTTCCGGGGTGCTGGAGAGCGAGGATGACCGGCGAATGCGTGCTGAGTTGAGTCGGAAGTGTGTGTGGCGGATATAATTGTGATGCGCTTGGTAACAAACGTGGATTGCGGCCAACATCGTCGAGATTTTTAGTATGTAGTGGCGATGTAATGAGCTTTTCCTGTAGACGAATTGTGTACAAGTTTTTCTGTCGAATACATATTTCTTGCTCTGCCTGAAGGTGATAATAGCAGGAGAGCAGCCTCTGGAACCTCGATTTTGTTTCTATTTCTCTGTGCTTCCTAGAATTTGGGTTGCATGGAGGTAATGTTGTTTGAGTTGTTATAATCCAGCAAAGGAACTTTCTTGCATGCGAAATAATTTGCTTAAATTGCTGGTTTTGGTGTGATACTAGGTGGCTGCGTAGTTGTAATTTTAGATCTGGGGATTGTTGGCATGAATCAGGAGTCGGGACCATGATTTTGCCATAAGTAAAGAGCACGGGATCTTGAAAGTTCTTGCTGCTTGTTTGTTCGTTGCCTTTTCCCTCTTCTTGGAATTTTATTTTCTCAGTAATCAGTAGAACTGTAGCCCAACAAGCAATTTTAACTTATGCTGTACTTCTATGTCAGTTTCTCTTTGAAACTATGAAAGTGTGGTTGCTTATCTTCGCTGGCTAGTCTTATTCTTATATTTTTCTTGTAAAGGTTTCTTTGTGTCTTCACCTTACACCTCCCTTTTGATGAACCATATGAGAAGTTGAGGTTTTTAAGATCTCAAAAGTGACTTCTCCGTGTGAATTATGGGCCCTCAAAGTTGTTTCTTCTTGTCTATTCTCTTTCTTGGAGTAGAATAAGTGGTTGACTATGATTTTTATCTTCTCGCTGTGGGTGAAAGCTGCATCCGTTAGCGGATCTGATTTTTCTTTGCTGATATTTAGTAGTTGCCGAATATATAGTTTGATCCGCCATCAAATATAAGGATTACGATGTGATGCTATATCCATTTTTACGATTTGCTAGAGTAAAAGCTCTAAATTTTTCTTTAGCACATAAAGAAAAAAGAAAAAGCTCTATCTTTACGAATTCTCACATGAGATCTTCTCGTTGAGTATTAGGTGAATTCAAGGTTCTGATGAAGTACCACAGATTTAGGATAGTCTTACCACCAAATTTTGTGTTTGGATGTTATTGGCTTTGTCATTCATAGATGGGTGCTAGATGTTTAGGAAAATATTTCCAAGGAAGACCGTTCTGCAACAAGTGTGATTGTGTACATGCCATTGTTTCATGAGGTTATAATGAAATTCTTCGCTGCGGTTGGAAGATTCCGTGAATCTCATAAATTATCCGATTTCTGCCTTTTAATGGTTGTTAGTTTCTTGGTGATTTATAGACAAAAACCGAGTTGACTTTCTCTAACTACATTTGAGCTTGAGTGACTTGGTCGTTATTTGGCGCAATTGGAAGCTATTAGTTATATTCCCAATAGGTCCTATGAATTTTCTTGGGCCATAGAGACGTGACATCACCTTTCCTGATGCAGCTGATTGCATACTATCATTGCCAAGAGAGGAATCATCTGAATCTTTTACTTGGTGCTTCATAATGAGGAACAATGAAGAGACAAAGTCATCCAAATCTGATAAATCGTCTTCACCAATAACTCCGGTGAGATGAGGAACCTCGTATATTTGTGCTTATTAATCCTGAAAGAATCTTTTCTATTACTACTCACCAGTCTATATGATGATATATACCGTGAAGAACTCTAGAGTTGCATCTCCTTCCCGATACTAAAGCTAAAAATTTGTTGAGGTCCTGTTTTCAATTAAATGTTTGTTCATCGTGCAACAGGATCAGACGGGTATTCATGTGTATCCTGATTGGGCAGCTATGCATGTAAGTTTATTGCTCTGGCTGAATGCTTTGGAGCAGAATTGTTGCTTGATAAAAATGTTGACATGATCCATTGGCCCTCCATCTTTTCAGGCATACTATGGTCCAAGAGTTGCTCTTCCACCTTATTATAATTCTGCTGTCTCATCTGGTCATGGTCCTCATCCCTACATGTGGGGGCCACCACAGGTAGTGTTGGAAACAGTGAACTAAATATTATTATCTAGTTTTGGCTTGCAACTTAGTGTCATGTTGATCTCCAGCCTATGATGCCACCATATGGGGCACCTTATGCTGCAATATACTCACATGGAGGTGTTTATGGACATCCTGCAATTCCTCTTGTAAGTATATCTTCTTTACCTTTCTTTACCTGATAATTGGTTTAATATATAGGGGGAGAGTGGCCAAAACTTGTGCGCACTGGGGGAGATGTGCTGTGTTGTGCGTATTCTTTTTATTTGTCTTAGAGTGCTTTGCTCTTGATGATGCAAGCTCTGTGCTTAAGTTACTGCGAGTTAAGACTGCTTCTCATGATTACACTGTTCTGATTCCCTGTCATCATCGTCTGCATCTAGTGCTTTTTTTTCTTCCAAAAAGCAAAAAGAACAAGAGAAAATGATTCACCCGCTGTTTTGTAAATATACTGGTAATAGATACATGTTCTTGGTTCCCCATTTCATCTTCTTTTTACTCCAGAATTTGTTACTAGTCTGAGCTACATCTCTGATTTTTACCTGTATATATAATCCCCTGCATGTTTTCTGGGTATATGCTTGAATGATGATGGTTCTGACGGTCTTGCAACTATGCAGACACCAACTCCCTTGGCTGCGGAAACTCCTAAAAAATCATCTGCTAATTCTGATAATGGACTGGTGAAGAAGTTCAAAAGTTTTGAAGGGCTTGCAATGTCAATAGGCAGTGGGGATGCGGACAGTGCTGACGATGGGACTGATAAGAGGTCATCACAGAGGTTTGTCGAACAAGAAACTTTTTGTAGCTCCAAATCAAGACCAGTGTGCTTACACTTATGATTCCGGAAGATTTCTTTATCATATTCATCCCATTGCTACTATTTCCCTGACCACTATCTTGCTAATTCTTCAATGTTGTGATTTGTAAGCAGTGAAGACACGGGAGGCTCAAGTGATGGGGATCAATCAGGGGTGAGAACAGAAACTCTATTACTCCTTTATTGCCTCATCATTCCTGTTTCTGGGAATATCGTGGTCATAACAGTAACTGGTACTAAATTGTGCACTTAATGTGCCAGGCAGATAAAGCTACGAGGAAAAGAAGTCGCGAAGGAACTTCATCCGTTGGTATAGCATCAGCCTTCATCGACTAAATTATCTTGATAGTGAGATAACTCTGTTTAATCTCACCATTCACCCTAACCTTTTTCCTTTTGGGTGGGTGGTGGGGGCCCGAGGGTGTTTCTAGAGTCCCTACTCTACTACTTCAGACTGTAAAGACTGTCCATTTCTTGTAAGTGGCTTCTGATGTAGAACCTGTAGACTCTCGCAGTTATGAGGATGAACTTCTGTGAGACATGCTATGAACTTGCTGAGAAAGTTCTCTCTCTACCATTGTGAAACTACCATGAACCGTTGCTTCCATGGGCATGTGTAACACAGTTAGTAGTCATATACTGTTGCTTGCGTTAGAAGTCCATGGAGGTGAAAACAGATGGGCTTAGTTTTATGTAGGTGGCAGCAAATAAATTTGTTGGTGGTTGATACACCTACGTCTGGGGAAATCATTCATACATTCCTGGAGTTGAATTTCTCATTACTTTGGTATGCAACGATGCAATTAAGTCTAAATTTGGAGCCTCATATCCGCAGGTGATGGAAAATCTGAAGTTCAAGCCAAGGTTGCTGGGGAGGTGGATGCTGCTTCTGAGAATGTGTCAGGTGGAGCCATTGATTGTCCCAGTGCCACAGGAAAATTGGTTGCATCTGTAAACTCGCCCAGCATGTCTGCATCATTAGAGCTCAAGAATTCTTCCATGGATGCAAATGCCAACCCTGTTAGCATTTTGCAACCTGGTGCAGTAATGCCACCTGAAGCCTGGTTACATGTAATGTCACTGTGTGGTAGTTTACCTATAATGTTTTCTCTGCAAGTCCAGTACTTTTGTTCTTTCTGCTGTTTCTTCAAGTTGCTCTCTACAATATCATAAAATTCTCTTTTTCAAAATTCTCTTAATGTAGAGTGAAAGAGAACTGAAAAGGGAGAGGAGGAAACAGTCAAACCGTGAATCTGCTAGAAGATCAAGACTGAGAAAGCAGGTAAACATGACGTGTGATAGAAAGTGTTATCGTGCTGTTTTCAGTCTTTCTGTTTGTCATTTTCATCAGCGTGTATGTCATTTCAAGGGAATGGCTTTTCCTCTTAATGTTCAGGCTGAGACTGAAGAACTTGCCAAAAAAGTGGATTCTCTGACTGTGGAGAATATGGCTCTTAAATCTGAAATTAGTCGACTGACCGGGAACTCAGATAAACTGAGGCTAGAAAATGCCACATTGATGGTACCTCTTGCGTCCTTAGCTTCAGCGTTCAATATGAGTCATACATATAATTTGCTATTATAGTTTTAATGAATAAAACTGCTTCCACTTACAGGAAAGACTGGAAAATGCGCAGGGAAGGGAAAAGGAGGTTGAATCACTAGGTAAATTCAACGACGACGGGCTTCTCTCGGACAAAACAGAGAACTTACTTTCAAGGGTGAACAACTCCGGAGCCATTGATCGAAGAAGTGAAGATGAGGGAGAAGTTTATGAAAGGAAGTCGAATTCCGGTGCCAAGCTTCACCAGCTCTTGGATTCAAAACCCAGAACCGATGCGGTGGCCGCTGGCTAATGGCTCTTTCTAATTTCTGTTAAATAGTTTGCCTTACTTATTGAGCTTCGGAAAATTTCGAAATCAATGTCACAGCTAACAGGAGAAGGATGGGATAGCTGGGTAGAGCTAAGCGCATCCAAGAATATGAGGACTCTAATTTTTATTGTAGTATAGTTCTCTCATGGCAGAACTGATGGCTTTTTTTTATCATGTTCGGAATGCCGTGATGGTCCCAGAGGCTATGTACATTTGACACAGGATTTGGTTCGTAATTGGGTGTTTTTACGGTTAACTGTGGACTAATGTCATGTAATTAGTGCGTACAACTTGTGTGTAAGCTTGTTCTCTACTTGATCTTAAAGCCAACTTGACAATGTTTACTTCGACTCTCTCGCCGGTTCTACCCATAAGTTTTGACTTGCGGGTGCACAACGACTTTCACAGTAGCTTTTATGTCGATGGAGGAGTCTTGACGGCAGCTTCCTCTGTTTGCTTGGGTCAAGCACTGCTCAAAAAGCCATTCCTTTACTTTCCATTCAAAAGCAGAAGAAAAGGGTACAGATCTGTGCCCACATGTCGCTGCCTGTCCCCTCTCATTTTCCTTCGTATTCGTCTTCTCTTATAGTCAAACGCATTTGTTCTTCCCAAGGCTTATTTCGCTTGCCGGAGAAACAGAAAGAAAGGTTTATTTCGCATGAAAGACTACCTTTTTTGTGTGCTCATCCATCAATGTTGGACCTTTGAAGGCCGAAATCTATTCAGATATCAGGGCCCACGGCCACAGTGGTTCATGCAACTAACGAAAATTGTTTATTTCGCACGGAAAAGCTGTAATTACTGTTGCTGACAAAAAGTAATTTGGTACTGCTTCCTCTAATGTTCTCCTGAAATTCTCTACTGTTTGGAGCATTGTTGCTTCTTTGTTTGATTGACAGGCAGCCGGGTCGTTGGGATTCTGAGTTTCACTGGGTCAAAAGCAGATCTAAGGGAGCTAGTTTTGTTTCTATTCCGATTGAGTTGACTTGGGATGGCTTCTTTATTCGTTTATGGAGGCCAAATGTTCATTCACAAACTATTCCATCTAGGGATCAAGTTTTCCATTGTGTGAGATTTGCTGTTAAATGCTTCATTGCGAAGAAGGCTTCATTAAGGAAAAAAATTGTCAATGCTTATCTGTTCCAGATTCGCTTGAATCGGAATATATGCTTTAGTTGAGCGGTTTCTAGCCTAAAGTGATGTTAGTCAGTGCATTCTTTGATTGCTTTGGTAGTCAATTGTCCCCAGGCTGCGAATTATGTTGTCTAAAGATTGTTCAATGGAGTCGTGCAAGAAGATTTGCTTGACACGTAGTGGGATTTCGATTTGCCCCATGTCTTTGAGCAGTAATAAGAAATGCTTATTGACGACAAAAAGATTTTGCAACTTTGAAACACTATTAGGGGCCGATATCTAAAAGTCAGTCGCAGCCACGTTATACAGATTTTCGCTCATGACCCACTTTGAAAGATCCCTCGTTTCCCTCGTCTTTCCTCTGAATTTCTCTCCATTGTTTCCATTAATTTAATCACCGCTGGATTCATCAGCCCCTCCACCGCACGTGATCTTCCTAACACTCCACCCCCCAAGAAAAGCTAGTCATCTTTGACTCCCACTTTTCTTTCATGATGAATGCAACCAAATTCCAGTTGGAGAAACCAACCTCACCACCTCACGTGCGTCCACCACGACTTGTGCGGTGGTGTGCTCCAGTTTCCCTCCTCCAACTTTGCTTTTCCTAGGTTTCTTGGTTCGTGCTTCATCAAAGTGTCCTACCTTTTGTCTCCTCCACTTGCTCTGCTTCACATGTTAGCTTCCCCCCCAGATAAGGATACCTCTTATTTGGATAAAAGTCATTGACGTTCCAGGACATGGCGGTCTTGAGCTCAGATTGCAGCCAAAACAGTAACCGGAAAGCTAAAAATTAGGATCAAGCTTACACTAGCACCCCATCTCTCGCGACTCGCAATTCGTGCTTCAGAAGAGAATTTGTCCTCGGTTCTGAATTTAAGCAGCCTTAACAAGAGTCATCGGAGACTAAAACCGGGGTCGAGAAGCTGTCCCGGCAAGCAGAAACTCATTGGTTTCTCAAGCATTAGACGAGATTCTGGTGGAACTATGACGTGACTATCACCAAAGAAACGGAAAAATACGAATTACAGTTCATGAAATTGGGTCTAGCTAGATGTTATGTCTTGCGCTAGGTTCTTGTTCACCAACTTTGGATGCTCAAGCGAGTGATAGTAAGCATAATACCGCGCCCAACTTAGTGTGCGGGGTAAAATCCAGCTTCATTTCCTATTTTGGTCATGTAGAGTCTCTTTCCTGGCCCAATTCAACCATGACCGTCCATTTGAATTTTTTCTTGTTCTTCTTCCTTGCAGTGATCCATGCATGTAAGCGACAACGGGGGCAGTCCACGTCGAATTAGGGATTTGTATTTTATCTGGAAAATTTGCTATCATGATGAGGGGGCAAGAAAATAATAAAGAAAATATGTTCACAACACAATATGAAAAGTTCGAGTTGTCCCCATCTCAAACATCCCCTCGTTTCAAAAAATTTAGCTGCTTGTACAACGTACCTGTACCTCGTATCCTCACGTTTCTTCTCATGCTTCCACAACCATGCCCAAATCCTTCTTCCCCTCCCAAGCATCCCCCCTTCAGCCCTTTTCTTCTCCTTTCCTCCTCCTCCTTTCGTTGCTTCAGAGTTTAGTTTCAGTATTTAGTAGGAGCTCGTAGGCAATATTTAATTCTTTAGCCCAAAAAGCCACTCCATTCAGTGCATGTGTTCTTTGGCGTTTCGTTTCAGTTCTGTTAATGGGCATTGCTTTTGCTTTCGCGACTTTTATATTCGTCTCTGTATATCCAGAGAAGGGCTTTCTCTGATGAATTCCTGCATTCGACCCCCCCCTGTCTCTCTCTCTGTCTCTGTCTCTGTCTCTCGTTCTCCTCTGATTTGTTGTTGTCTTGGGCTGTTCGGAGGAATTATAGATCCGTGCTCTTGAACCGAATGCTTCCACTTTTTTTTGCATTGAAAGTCTCTCCTTGATCTGCTTTCGGGCTGCGGATTTGCTGCTGGTGTTTTTTTTTTTATCAAGTTTCAATCTTTTCGTAGAAAGTTTGAAGCTTGAAGAAACTAAAGTTTCACCGATGCTAACAGCTCATCTGATGGCAGTCTCTCCTTTCAGCGTCAGCAATTAATGGTGGGTTGACATACGTGGGCATTTGTTCAAGATTCCTAGGATAGATAGTGGTTTGGGTCTATTGGGTCTATAGGGCTTTGCCAAATGTTGTCATCCTACTGGAGTTTCTCCATGTTTTATGTTTAAGCAATTGAGAGTTCTGGAGATATCGGGCTTTTTTTCTTTATTGGATCTGAGGATAAATGCTGAGGAAGCAGGTGGTGGTTGGAAATTAGCTTTTAGTTCACGTGTTCACAGGTTTCTTGCATAGAGAAGGCTCTGGTGTAACTCTAATGTTTCCGTCACAGGGTGAATTCAGTGATTCTTCACTGTCCATAAGTGCCAGTTTTCCCTGAATTGTTTAGAGCTCTAGCAACAGAAGTTCATCTTCCAATCAAAATGGGGCATTCTGCTGCTGTGTGGGATTGCAAAGCCGCAGTCGAAATGACAAAGGACTGGAATGGGATTGACCATGTCGTGCTTCGGAGTCCACAAGGGGCTTCAGTGCGGGTAGGAATTGTGCATTTCACTATGGGATGATCGTGCTGAGATACTGAATTTTTTGCACTGAGTATGGTATTTTGTATGCTCAGTCGTGCTTGACTTTTTTTAATCCTGTGGGTGCTTCCATTTTTGTCTGTGTAGGTTAGTATGCACGGAGGGCAGGTCACATCATGGAGGAATGAGCAAGGTGAAGAGCTCCTATTCACTAGTAGTAAGGTGCGGCTTATTCGATGTATTTGTTGGAATCTTTGAGCTCGATGCTAATTCCACTCTTATAAATTGCAGAAGTTAATGCGTGTCAGTTTTCGTTCTTTACGTGCCTGTAAAGCACTCTGCTAGTACAGTGGATGTAGCAATGTGAGCTTACAACATCAAAATAACAGTTGTGCTTTTAGTTGAACGTAGTGCTCATCAACATCTAATGTGTTAGGTTGTTGTAGATTAATGCTTTGCATTCTTCAACTCGTGACATTTGAAGATATTTGAGAATGACCCAATTCGACCGTTTTCAATATGAATTATTGCGTTTTCCCTGAGTTCTGGGCTAAGCTACAGCAAGAATCTCTGCTAAGAGGCAGGGATGTCAATATCCACAACTATTATCTCAGACTGATTCGCTTGTGTATTATCTTCTACTACAGGCAATTTTCAAGCCTCCCAAAGCAGTGAGGGGAGGAATTCCCATATGTTTCCCTCAGGTACTCTGCATATTTTGATCCAACATTTATAAAGGACTCAATGTTGAACATCTCTTACTCGAGTTCTTTTTGAATTTTTGAAGTTTGGGAATTGTGGTATGCTGGAGCAGCATGGGTTTGCTAGGAACAAAATTTGGACAGTTGATGATAATCCTCCACCCCTGCCCTCGACTGATTCTCAAGGCAAATCCTTCATTGACCTATTGCTTAAGCCTTCTGAAGAAGACATAAAGGGGTGGCCTCATAGGTATAAGCTCAATCGTAATTATCTCCAAACTCCACACCCAGTACCCACCATGCCTTGCGATGTTTTCTTTCTTTTTTTCTTGCTTCTTTATTAAATATATGGCATGGAACATCATTGTTCAAAGGCTCCTGCTGATCATTTTTATATCTCTTGTTTCAGTTTTGAGCTTCGCCTTCGGGTTTGCCTCGCAGCAAATGGTGATCTGAGCTTAATATCGCGAGTCAGAAACATCAATGGAAAGCCATTTAGTTTCTCATTCGCTTATCACACATATTTATCAGTTTCTGATGTCAGGTATGGACCATTATCTGCTGATCATCTTGTCATTGGCCATAGATGTGCTTTTACTACCGTCAGTAAATACGATTATCTAAAGAAATGGCATGATATATGGCCTTGAGGTTCTCTAAGCTCATTTTACAGGGTAACACATCTTCCATCAACATTTTTCTTGAATATGCTGTGATCTTATTAGTTCGAGGCCACTATCTACAGTCACCGTGAAGTTTTACCACAAAGCAATCATATCTGAATGTCAAATATGAAATAGCAATGACATTTAGGCAATTATAGTGATGTTTGGAGTTCAAGCAAGCACGTTTTGTTTAGGGACCACTGCAACACACTGTTTAGCCTTGAATGCATAAAGGTTATATAGTGTTGCTTTGCTTCTTGCCCAAGAATGTACCTCACCAAATTCAGCCGATTTTTATTTTATTTTGAAATGATAAAAAAGAGTTCATTCTCCACTTAATCAAGGGATTGAATGTACATCTGTCTCAGTGAAGTGAGAATCGAAGGATTGGAGACGCTCGACTATCTAGACAACCTTTGCCAAAGGGAACGCTTCACAGAACAGGGGGATGCCGTAACTTTTGAGTCAGAGGTAAACATCAATTTAATTCATTATAGCCAACTTCATGTGAAAGAGTAACGAGCCTCATATTCACTGGAGTTCTGAATTTCCCGAATAGCAAGAAATGAAGGAGCAGCCTCTTCAATGGTTGTAAAGAGCCTAGAGAGGGCCTTTTCTTTGAATTTTTTGGTTCTCAGTGAGAATCTTCTCCACGCATTTAGAGTAATTAATGCGGAGAGAATGTGGAAATGTGATGACGCCTGCATGTTGAAGTATTCTAGTTGTGCCTCTCCCTGCATTTCGACGACCTTGCCTCTATACAGCCTATAATTAGTACGTTTTCTGCCTCACCCAATTCTGGCAGGTGGATCGAATCTACTTGAGTTCTCCAAATGTAATCGCGGTGCTTGACCATGAGCGGAAGCGAACTTTTGTGATCAGAAAGGAAGGTCTGCCAGATGTCGGTAAGAGCCCTTTCAATTAAGGAAAATGTCTTTGCATTCTATTACACACTCTTAGAACATTTAGTGGTATACTGGAGCCCGAGAGGTTGCAGAGAAACAGATGCGAGTGCTGGATATTAGTCACTCCAAGTTGAAGTATATAGGGTTATCTTGTTTGAACATGCAGTTGTATGGAATCCTTGGGAGAAGAAATCGAAGGCGATGGCGGATTTTGGCGATGAGGAGTACAAACAGATGGTTTGCGTTAACGGTGCAGTGATAGAGAAGCCAATCACATTGAAGCCTGGTGAGGAGTGGACTGGAAGATTGGATCTCTCAGTGGTCCGCTCAACTTTCTGTAGCGACCACCTTGATTTCCAAACCAGAGGCCTCTGAAGACTAACGAAGTCATCGCAGCCATATATATCTTTTCCCTGTTCTGTTTCTGATGGCAGAGAACCAACCCAAGGCATCCCTTTGGACCGGTCCTGAACCGGTAAGCTCGGGGACAGTTGATAGTCCCATACCTAGCTCTCCAGTGTTAGTGTTAGTGCACTAGTCCGTGCATACTATAGGAGATAGGAATCGAGTTTGAGACCTCTCCCTCATGAAGTGTGGCCCTCAGCTCACCCTTACTCTGGCGGACGCTGTTGGTGAGGCTGTTAGATTCAGTAGTTTCGACTTTGGAGGCGGTCGGTGCAGAGCGAATTGTAATAATTTTGCGAGAGTGGATTCATAGGAAAATCTGCATCGAATAAAATGGGAATTGCAACTTTAGCGTGGAGTCTCTCTCTCTCTCTACTCGTCGTCGTCATGTGGAAATAATGTGCAGAGGCCTTCTTCAAAGATTGAGATATACAAATCTTCATAGTTCATATAGTCATATAGATATCAACATGCCATATTATGATTGAAGGGTTTGTCTCTAAATATCTTGTTTAAGTTCAGGACCGTGGCTGACTCCAATATCCTTGATTCGTTCCCTTTCATTAGAATAAGAGGTTTATAGACTGTGTAGGAAAAGCACGACCTCCCATCAATCCTAGCCTAACTTCATAGGTGAAGGACAGAACTAAATCTTACCCTTCAATAGAAACCACTGCTCTTCCATATGATCTTTTAATTCTTCATCGACTCCAATCTCAACTTTTTACGTGCAAGATGATGGCAAGAAAGAAGAACAACAAAGAAGCCGGAACTGGCAATAGAATTCATATAGACCCGTCAAACGGGTGAGTTGGGTCAGATTTGGGTTAGGTAAAAAATGATCTGACCCAAATTGATCAATTTTCATGCAATACAAAATTTAGCGGCACTCATACCCAACTCAAATCATACCTAACACATACCCGATTCGATCTATATTACTAGAATACTTCGATATTTAATCTAGTATAGGAAAATTTATAACCAAACTGAGGTGAGAGCTCAGAGTAATCGAGCGTGAGATCCAGTATGGCTGAGAGAGTAAAAAGAGAATCATAGAGGTGAGTTTGGTCTAAGTAAGTTACAAACCCATTTAACATTTATGTTATTCTGGGCTTTACCGTTTTAAACTCATTTATGGCCAGTTTAGTAAATATAACTAATCTCTATAAGAACTGAACCCATCAAATATGTTTTAAGTTTTTTTTTTTTTGGTAAAGGTAAGAATATGAATTTAAATATGTTTTAAGTTGACACTTCTAAATTCCAACAATGGGGAATAATGAAGAAGATTTGTTACGTCACATCAACATTCTTAAGGTTGCTGAGTAAGGATGGAGAAATCATAGAATCAAATACAAAAGAAGAAGAAGAAGATTGTGATCAAGTAGCTGTCCACCCTGATTATATATGTGGGGGCAAACACTTTGATTTCTTGGCTGGCAGTGAAGCAATTGCATCCATGCGTGCTTCCAACTTTCCTCATCACCCCATTCGTGGCATTTTCATGTCTTTCTCAAAATACAATTACTTGTAAGTTTAATCGTTACTGCATTTAGTTAATCAGTCTCCCAGTCTATTTATTATCTTTGACTTTGGCAACCAAAGTAAAAGAAAATTTATAAATTAAAAAAAACAGAACAAAACCCACGTGTACAATACTTTATGAATGCAAGAGCCAGCCTTAAATGATTTGTCTATATCTGACAATAAATTAAAAAAATCATGGAAAGTGATTCATAAAGTTGGTGATTTTTCATAAATTTTATGAATATTCCAAATATAACGATATATGTTGATATGGTTCCTAAAAATCACCGTGCTAAATTATGTGTCCCGATCCGAATGGATGCCTAGAGAAGTGAACTTGAAATGCGAGAGAGTGAACTTCTTAAATAAAAACATTGTGAATCACGCCGCATAACTTCGCATACTAATTTTCGCAGACTATTCTAGTGCCTCTAACATTATTCACGTCCCCAAATTTATTTTTTTCCTCTTTTTCATACACGCAATTTATGTTATCTCATTCTCGATCGCATTTTCTACATAACAATTGCACGTGATTTTATCAATCTCTTGGCGTGATAATGGTTCTCTAGCAACTAGGAAAGAACATGAATTGCATGGATTTCGATTCTCTCTTTCGCCACTGCATTAATTCCATCTAAGCCCATTTTGTCACATGAATCAAAGAAGGAAACTGCAAAGTCAAAATGAGTAAATAAATAAATGAATGAATGAATGAAGGACTGGTGAGTTGTAATAAGGTTGGAAAAGGATAATTTCTTAATGTAGCACGTAGCTGCTGATGCAGATAATGCAAGGCAGGTACTAATTTCTCTTCAATTGAAAATTAGATATTAAGTGATCTGATGAGATTATGTTAAACTATATAACTTTTTTTTAATTACCCATTTCATAGTTTCATCTCAACACAAGTTTCTCGCCATGTTTCTAATGGAATGATGAACTGTCTTATGCAACGAGTTGCATACCGCCATGTACTTCAGCAGTACCATTTCATTGTAAAGATATCTTTAAGCTCCGTTTGTTTCTTTAAAAATGAATGATTTGGAAACTATTTTTTTTCAAAAATGATCGCTTGTATCACTTGAAATAAATTAGCCGATAGAAAATGTTACCCTTATCGGCAACGGTTAACTTCTAAATATTTTTGGGGATGATGGAAATATTTTTCGTTCGTTCATTTTTGTAATCGATACGAGCGATCATTTTTACAATAATATTTTCCAAATCGTTCATTTTTCGCGAAATAAACGTAACCTTGACATGGTGTCGCAACATCGGCAATCGTGTTTCGACTTTTTGGATAAGTTAGCAACAAAATCAAACTCTAAAATGTCAGAAGACGATATGCTTGTGCTCCAAAGCCCTGAAATCGCATGTGAATCTGATGAAGATTGTTGGCCATTCGTATATAGTAAGTAGTCCTAAACTCCTGTGTTTTGCACCGTCATTCGTTAATACATGACCCCGCATTATGATATTTTCCTTATAATATTTCGGATCGTGAAGCTCGGTTTAAGTAGGTAATTCATGAATTCCATATTTCTCGCACTCTCCTTAAATATCGTTGTTCTCATCAAGGCATGCCAACAAGGCAACAAGTGTCTTCAGAGCATTTGTTGAACATGCTTAGTTCGAAACAATCCGATCTTCAAAGTAGTGGTTATACATAAGAACAAACAAAAAAGGACGATCGATATGGCAGAAACATTAACATTCGTTTATTAGTTACGTAACAAGAATTTACGAGACGCTTGTTAATGAAATCCGAAGAAATGCTTGGATGATTCAACGGAAAAAACCAAGAGAATAACAAGAAGAAGATGGTTATGGAAAACGATACAACAAGAAGAGGAGCGAAGGGAGCAAAGTCGGGGGCGTTAGAACAAGGTGTCGCGACGAGTCAGCAGGAGAGCGCCGCGCGTGAATGTCGCGAACGAATCCCTGCCTCTGCTCCTTCCCCGAACATTACATCCCCTGTTTTCGTCTCTAACCCCTCCTCCTTCACCACCCCCATTAGATTTTCGCTTTAGCTTTCCTCCCTCCCTCTCTCTCTCTCTCTCTCTCTCTCTCTCTCTCTCTCTGATTCACATTTCCTTAATAATTATCTCGTGAAATCCACCACCTTTTCCATCGGACCAAGATCTTTTCCCCCATTGAATTCTCCCATACCAACTTGGGTTTCCATTGGTTTCGTTTGTTCCTGCAGAATCGGGCACTGTTCCGGGTCGAATCGACTCCATCTCCTCCCCAAAAGGGTCTGCATCTCTCTGCATGCCGTTCAAGATGCTTCATGTTCTTTCTTCTCTTCTGGTTCATAGATGATTTTTCTTCTCTTTGGTTCAGAATTGGGCACTGTCTGTGTCTCTGTTTCTTTCCGATGAATCGTACACAGAGCTGTTCTTTTCCTTTTCTGAGTGAGCTCGTCCATTTGCCCTTTCGTTTATATTTGAGATGAAATTCATTTTGTGTCGAGCCTTTTTCATTGGATTTCAGAGGTTGCCTTCAATTACAGAGCAAGAGCGATAATTTAATTTTTAGCTTCTCTAGTGGACTTGATTTCGTTCATCCGGGCATTTGCATTGTTGTTTTCTTCTTTCTCGATGATTTGTTTTCCATGCTTATGATTCACTTTTTTGTTGCGTGCACCGTCATTATAAATTGTTCAATTCTTTTCAGCTGATTCCGTTCCTCTGTTTTCAATGTAGAAACAGAGCATCCAACCGGAAGAGCCGCCAAATGGCCGAACCGCCACAGAAACCGGTACTCCAGAAGCCGCCGGGCTACAGGGACCCGAGCGTCCCCGTCCAACCGCCCCCAAGACAGCCGTTCCGGAAACCGGTCATGCCGCCTTCAATGTACCCAAGGAAGAAGCGCCGGGGCTGTTGCCGCGCGTGTTGTTGCTGCTTCTGCGTCCTCATATTCCTCATCTTCTGCGTCCTCGTAATAGCTGGCGCAGCATTTTATATCTGGTTCGGCCCGAAAATCCCGGTTTTCCACCTCCAGTCGTTCGAGATCCCCCGGTTCAATGTGACCGTCAAGCCAGACGGCACTTACCTCAACGCCCGGACCGTGGCGAGGGTCGAAGCCAAGAATCCGAACGAGAAGCTGGGGTTGTACTACGGCGGGACCAACGTGGACATCAGCCTCGGGCAGGACAAGGGGATCGGGATGGGGTCCGCAAGCCTGCCCGGGTTCAGCCAGGGAAAGAAGAACGTGACGAGTTTGAAAGTGGCGACGGAGGTGCGCGACGAGGTGGTGGAGGACGGGATGGGCGCGGGGCTGAGGTCCGGCTACCGGAGCAAGAGCTTGGTGGTGAAGGTGGAGGTCCGGACGAGCGTGGGGGCGAACATAGAGGGGTGGAAGGTGGGGAGGGTTGGGGTGACTCTCGAGTGTGGGGATGTGACAATAAAGGATTTGGAGGGTGGGGACATGCCCAAATGCAAAATTAAATTGCTCCATTGGTAAGTTTGAGTTTGTATTAGCTTGGCGGTTCAATGCATTTTGTTTGGTTCATCAAACCATTGGTCAAATGCTTGGTACATGATGAATTAATGAGCAAAAAGCTTAGTTAAGCCAAAGTTGTAATTAGGAGGAGTTGCTTAGTTTTGCCACATCTAAGTAGGGTATGACATTCTAAACAAAAAAGAAACGAAAAGAAATGAAAAAGTAGGGTATGATATATCTTGTTGTTTGGATTAGAATCTGCGATATCACAGAACGACTAGTTTATGAAAAATTAGAGTTCATTTTTCATGAGGTCTGAAAAAGACATCTCTTTCTTTTTAAGAATCGATAGCTGGTCATTGTAGATTACTACACGAGATTCCGATCAAGAACCGAGGTTGTTTCGATCTTTTCTTTGCACTGTGAATTGTTCTCCATGTCTTGAAAGAAAGCAAGGATGCTTAGCTTCATGCTTTTAATCTGCCTGATTCCATTACACTGGGTAGGATGCCATAAGTTTTCACAAGTTGTTTTGATTTGGATGACACACGTGGTAGATGAAAACGCGGGCTCATCATGTTCTATGGATAATGCGTCGCTATTGAGACAGTACCGTGTCTAGATCCCGAGAAACGACAGGTTGACTTATCTGACAGCTGACTGCTTTTTTTTTTTCCTTCGTGTTGGAATTGCAGGATTACCCTTCAATGACACGATTGTTGTCGTGTGGAGAACAAAGAAAAAACAAAGACCTGATCGAATTTGACGACAACAATTTGGTGACCCCTTGCTGAACACGCCGCTGATTCTAATGTTACTTTTGACCGCAATAACAGTAACACAGCCCTTTAATTTTTCCTTTTCAAATGTTTTCTCCTTACATACGAAAGAAAAAAAAAATGAAGTCAGAGGCTCCCGCATGAGGTCTGAAGGCTCGAAGGTGGTGGGTTATGTATGTGTCTCAGCCCTTCGTCTCCTTCTGATGTAATTGACTGCACATAGCGAGCTCTCTTCTCCTATTTGTATATTTGGTCTGTCAATACGGACCCCGTATGTTTTATTTGACTGTTTTTTTTTTATAAACCAAGGAAATCTTTGAGGGTGGTGGCTGGTGGTGGGGATGGACATCTGGTTCTTCAATCTCTAATGTTTCTCTTGGAGACCAAGTATTGTAGCTGCGCCTGTCTTTAGAAAAATGGAAAGAGAGGAACACGCTATCTGTCCGCATTTTGCGTGATCTTAAGTAAAAAGATGGCCACGGAGAGAGATGTGCAATCTGCATGGCGTCAACAGGTCGCTTCTCGCTTGGCCAAACGAAGCTTCATGTTGCAAAGCCCCTATTGCGTTAACTCTTTCGTGGGCTACTACTCCCTATTAAGTTCCTAGTCCTTGGACCATTAAATTTTCTTAGATGACACGCGCTAAACTCTTGCCATAACTATCCTAGAAGGGACACGAAACTGCAAAAGAAACGCGCCCGGTCAGACTAATTAGCACCATTACGACGACGGAGCATAAACCTGACGGATCACGAACCTAACGGATCACGACATGCAACTAATTTAGTTGTGAACCAGAGGAGTTTCGTTGAGGTGACAATTAGCAACAAAAGTTTGACACATTTGAATCTTGGCCTCAAATGAGTTGTTCATGTGTTAGGAGCTCAAATAGTCCAACGATTTCCACCATGTTTGATTGATTTCTTCCACAGAATAAGCGGTTGACAGTCATGTCAGAGTACTCAAATTTTCAATTCCGCCCCAAACTGCCGTCTCTAGTTTTTTCAGAGAAAAAGTGGTCATGAAGCATGTTGCCTCATGTTCACTACCAACTCTCTAATGACATCCATCGGGCAAATCTCTGATAGATTTTATAAACTACCTACTATCATTCAATTAGTTGGACTTTGGCTTTCAACTAAAGGAATGAGCATGGAAACGATGTTGAACAAGCTTAGAATGGCTTGCCTCGTCGATAGTTGAAATTACGGTCATAAACATTTGAGTCTGATCACAAAGATGTAAACAAGCAGTATAGAAAAGAACCATAGGAGTACGATATTAACGGATATATATCGAGTCACATGTCGGCAAGTGAAAAAAATCCAAACTCGTCTTGTCCGGGGAATCGATTGTGGTTGAGTAGACAATAACAAACAGTATGGCCGTCTGTAACAAATCTAAATTCTCTTCTGGTAAAATAAGTTTCACATTCAAACCTTGCAGCAATTCCCATGTACTCTGGAAGTGCAATATAGAAATCAATTCAAGATTCACGTCAATGATAATAAATCCTTAAATACAACTCGCATATAGCTGACACATCTCAAGTTTGAACACTGGAACCCCAAGGAACTGGTGACTAAGCATGCAGTGAGACTCTGCATTCTTTAGAAAGTGAATCTTAAGAAGGGAAAAGCAATTACATACCCAAAAATTCTCACCACAAACACAGCACTTTTCACCCAGTAAGAATCCTGATAGAGACTACACTTACAATCCTCACTCTGATGCTAGTCAAACTGCAACTAATAGGTCGCCATAGTCACCTCTCCAATCCAAGCTGGTAAAGTTTCCTGCAACAAACAAGCTTCAGCTCACCAATTAGTACTAGATATGCACAAGAATGTAGATAAATTCAACAGATCAGGTGTTAAGTCATGGGCGAGATCCAACTATCCCAGCATCACAGAGAATGCTCTAGCATTATTAGGTAATCAGTAGAACGGACGAACTAGACAAAAATTAAGACTGTCAATTGAACCACCCAGCTCTTTTCTTTCTGAAATGCCAGTTGACGTGATGCAAAAGCATGTCAGCATAAGTGTGCAAATACATGCATAGTTTATTTGCCAAAATGACGTAGCACATAGAACTTGTTATTGACTTGTCAGCTGTTACTGAATATAACTTACAGACATGAACTGCATATGATAAAGCATATGCAAGTAGTTGATAGGGTATACACTGGAAGTAAAACCATTGCAGCTTACCTATGTTTTCATACTTTTATTCAGTTCAGACAGCTAATTTTGGATCTACAGTTCCCGTAGCATTTCCCTCTCCTGTTAGGATGTGATCGGGATCCTGATTCAGAGAAACTTACAGGTAAGATCTGATATATGCTCAAAAGTCGAGATAGATCAACAAGGCAAAGTAGAGCATATACCTCCATTCCCCACTTAATGTAATCCGGAGATTCACATGCCTTATATTCGTCAACCAAGCTCTCAATTATGTCTCTAGATTCGTCAAACTCCGAGAGATCATTATCCTGTTCATGTGATTGATTGCGTCAACATGATGTCTTGGCATACTAAAAACACCATCTGGAGTAGGGATGATTCTCAAAAAGGTTAATTTGTGTTAAAAAAAAAATAACGACAACAGTTGCTTAGACAGCCTTTTCAACAGGACGTCAAAAGATCAATACACTACTCACAAGTGCATGATCACTTGAACAAGCACTGCAACGCAAGCAAAAGTTCCCATTAAAGGTCTATAAGATAATACCAGTTGAATGAATGGTATCTATTGACAACTTACAGCAAACATTGGGAATTTCCGGTAATTGTCAAGGAAGGCTTGCTTCTTTCTCAACTTGTCGTACTGATTCAAACACTTGCTAAAAAGATGCCGTATGCTAGTGTGGCTTGCTAACATAAGACCACTGACCTGACAAACGCAACATTCATAAGTTTTCATCATTCTCCAAGTAGATTCTCACAAAAAGGTCACATGTGCCACTGCTACCAAATTTCTAGAAGCACAAATTGTCACAAAGCTCCAACCATACCCTATGGGCGGTTTGAACATATGGAGACTTTCTTGACAGAGCAACCTAAAAAATAGAAAGAACAAGAATGCATAAGATATCTTATAACATCAAATAGCTCTGGAAAATAGATTAGCATAACTTAAATTGCTTTTATTGTATAAGAAGACCTGAATACTCGCCGGGCCCCACTCAATGAAATTAACAAGCTTTCTTTCGCGTATCCTCTGTAAACTTTCATGAACCTGATTACAAGAACAGGGAAATTTCAATTATATCAACCAAGATTACAGGAATTATATAATGTATATTAAAGTTAAAAGCAGCTATTTTGAATGGGAATGTAATAAAGGATGTCCTAAACTTACTTCTGTTGGTCATTTCACAACAACAAAATGTATGTTAAAAAAAGTTACGATGAAAAGACGAGGTTAGTATGATGGACTTGGTTTCGTAAGAGCTAATAATTTATTATTAGCTCCGTCCAAGACGATAAAATGTAAATTATATCCAAATGACTCCTGGGAAAATATTGTCCAGAAAGGAAATTGACCGTTTCTTTCAGCATTATAATTACAAACACTTTGTGGTTTTCACATTGCAAATAAAAAGACTAACACCGATGCCTATGATTAATTGTTGGTCAGATCACCAGAATGAGGAATCAGACATGGTCAATACCTCCATGCATGACTAAACATAAGGAATTCATGCAGTGACAAAATATACCTGAGTGGGATCTACTTCTCCTTGAATGATGTTCAATATGGATATGTACTTTGCTTGACTAGCTTCTTTTGTTCGAGCGTAAGATGAAACCATAATATTCTTTGACTGAAACACATGCATTCAGAAAAAGAATTAGGAAGAGAAAAGAAAGTTCAAAGAAACTCTCAACATGCACAATGAAAATATACACAATAAAATTACTCACCTGCAAAAGTCTTCTCATGACATCCAGAACAGTAGTCTTCCGAATTACATTTGCCTGCAAAGATGAGAAATATTCACATTACACACTTGAGTCATTTAGGGATGCAAGTTTCAACCATTTGAACAAGGTTAAGGTGAGTCAATCAGGATTAAGACCAAGCTAGGTCCCTCCAAAAATCACCAAAAGACCTCAAAAATAAGTCCATGCTATTCTCCCCTCTCACAACAAGGCATCATCCATGGATGCCACATTATAGAGGACGTTTCATGCCAACACATCAGGCTTAACTAGATGGTCATGTAAACCTATAAACTACATTTTTAAAATAAAGTAAAGGAATATCCAATATGTTACCTGACGCTCTACAGTGAGAGGTGTATATCCTGTCATCAGGAAATGGCATCTTGGTGTTGGAATTAAAGAAGCAAGAAGGCCAACTAAGTCGTTGTTCATGTACCCAGGATAGCGAAGGGTGGTTGTGCTCGCAGACATTACAGTGGAAACCAATGAATTTGTTTGAGCAAAGGTAGGATTACTCAGATGAAGGCGCTCCACAGCTATCCTATTCAGTGCAGTATTATCAAGAACAACAACACAATCAGCATTAAGGGTTAGACGCTTGAGGGTCAAAAGTGAGTTGTATGGCTGCACCACCACGTCGCTCGTCTCCATCTGGTTAGGAAACACGCTGTATGTTTGAACCAATTTTTTGCTGTAGCGATCATTCAGAGTTTCCAATAGATATGAGCCCATACCTGCATTGTTTTGCTTTTGAGAAAAATAACCGACATATGCCTCGTGTAAAAGGCGAAAACACTATATGTATAGGTGTTATAATATGTCGAGCATGTTTGCATGGGGACTACCAAGTAGCCAATAGAAAGTAAAGATCTGCATCCTGCAGCTGATAGAAAAGCACTCCACAAAGTGGCTACAAGACGAATAACTCGTATAAAGTAGACCATCCTACAGTTGGTGCATATTAAGCATGATATGGGCCAGCACACTCCGAAAGAATGACAAGCCTCAACAAGTGGGAATGACTATGATTTATATCAGTTTTCACCAAGTCCATCAATCTTAACTACAGAAAAGTGAAAAAAGTAAATAGAAGAGCGAGGAAGCAACCTGAGCCCGTCCCTCCAGCAATAGAGTGGCAGAGAACAAAACCCTCAAGACTGTCGCTACCATCAGCTTCTCTATCGATCATGTCCATTATATCTTCTTCGACACCCTTCCCCTATCACAATGTTATGAAAAGGGATAGTAAGAAAGTCCGGTCATTATGATTATCCTAAAAGAATTGGTACACCAATCATGCAGGAGTCAATAATAGGTCAATTATCATTTAGTTTCTGTCACTCAAGATTAAGTT